TTATCTTTTCTAAATAAATTTGTTGAATAGTTAATTTAGTTCAAACTAAAGAATATGATTTTCCTATTTCTAATTTTCAGTTCAAAGTCAATTTAATCAAATTGACCTAAGTTTTATCCAAATCGATCACTCTATTATAGTGCCGTTTCTATCATTCTGGAAAAATTGAATTGAAGTTCGACAACGCCTCTTTTAATTATTTTGAGCTAACTATCTTTCTCTTCCTATAATTTTAACAATCAAATTTATGAAGAACTCAACAAAAAAAGACGCAAAAGACACATAAGATTAGACTAAGTTATTTTGTAAGAGTTAAGATTGAACGTATCATTAATTTAATTAACATAATTTTGTAAATATTAAACTCCTTAATCCTGTTATTAATACATCAAAACCCCCAAAAATTCCCAAAACTCCCGAAAGTCCCACCTTCGTCATCAAGCACCCGCACTGCCGTCTACAATTGCTCCACCACCTGCCTCTCCGATCTATCACCACCATCCCACATCTTTACACAACCACCACCTCAAAAGTTTTCAACAAAAAGTAAGTTCATATCATCAAATGAAGAATTTTCACAATATGCACTCCACTCTCCTTACATCAATTCTGCTATTTGTAGTTGAGAATCCTTTTTTTCTTTTTCTTTTTGTAAATTATTCATTTGGGTTCTGATTTTTTGCAAAAGAAATTTCTTTAGACCTAAAAGTTGAAGATTTATAAAGTGATATGCGAGTCAATAAATGAACTTCCATTTTTTCTATTCTTGATATCTCATAAAGATATTTCTCTTTCAGTAATACGTTTACTAACATCAACTGATAACTGACAGGATAGAAGACATGCAATATCATTACTTTTGTTATTTCAATGGTTGTGTTTTCGTTGGGATGTGTATGGTTCATTTATCATCCAAAAAATCAGCCATAAAAAAAAATTCTCCATGTTAACTTCATATTACATATAATAAAATACCCACAACAATATCGGAGAGTTGGAGAAGAGAAGAGAAGATAATAACAAAGGTTCTATGTATCGCTTCATTGATGTTAACTTGATTTTTATATGTATACAGTTTAACTTCAACAGAATGACTAAAAATATGATTACAAAATACAATAAGAATCATTTCAAGAGTTGTAATTGCACTGTCATTTTTTATATAGTGAATATTGCAATTATTATCCATATAGACTAACGTCTAAACATATATTTAAATTGCTACTTTCAAATGGATAACAGGTGGAAGTGTAAAAACTATATTTGTACATGGTGCATTTTCGTAAGTATCCTTGAGAATTTTTAATATGTCCATTCTATTCTTATTTTGATATTTCTTGCTTTTTCAATTCTAATTCTCTTAATTATCTTTTTTGGGGTTCTTATGTTGTCGCTTTGTATGATCATCTCATAAGGGAAAAAGAAGGAAGAAGAATTACGCGAGCTAATGATCTTAGAGGAATATATTGAAACACATATAATTGAAAGTGACTGGGGTATGTATTCATCTATCCACATAGCTATGGGCAGCTTCTCATCAACAAACAAATTGATGTTAAATTTGTCACTTTTTTGGAGTGTTTGTCACTTTTTTGGAGCGTTCGGTACTTCTTTAATTTCTTTAACTTTATTGAATTGTTTCTAAGATTTTAATTGGTGTTTTGTTAGTTTTTATAATATTTGTCACTTTTTTAAGTATTTCTTTCTTTTTTGAATGTTCATCACTTTTTTTATTTGCTGTGTCTTTTTTATTGTTTGTTACTTTCTTTGAATTTATGTCACTTTTTTAGTGACAAACATCACCCTTTTTTCACTCTTAACTTAAAAAAGTGAGACTTAACTTTAAATAGTATTTAAAAAAAAAAAAAATTTCCATATGGTTTTTCAAAAGACCCTTAAAGGGTATTTTGTCAGTTGATCCTGAGAGAGTACGGTTGAAAATGAATTTAGAAAAATGAGGACCAAATACATGTTAACAAAATGTCAATGAAAACTTCGAATATGAATAATTTACTTTTTCTTATGTGTAATTACAAATAATAACATGTTAGTCATCAAAACCTGTCTACTAGATAATGACTTTGATTTTCACGTTAACGGTCTCGAACTCTAGCAAAGCTAAAAGGCACCTATGAAGGGCTAGGCTGATGTGTTCGAGGGAATTTGACTTTTAAACCGACAGATGACCACAAATCACATAGGACGGATTTGAAAACTTGTTTAATCTTCATTTATTAAAATTCATTTTTTTTCTTACTCATTTTTAATCATACATTTTATGAGATCCATAAATTTTCTCAACTTTTTAATCCCACATTTTCTGTTTTATGAAAATTTAATGTAAATCTAATTTTTAATTTAACCAAACAATGGCTTAGAGTATGTTTATGGTGTGTAATTTGAGTATACTTCTACGTAACTTTGTTTAATTAGTGAAGTTGTAATATAAGTTGATGGTGATCTTTGCCCACTCTCATCCCATCCCATCACCACAGAAAAACCAAACGTCATTTTCTTAGTTGTGAGTGGCATGGCAATAACGGACCTACAAATTGGTATGTTTCAACAATTTTGTTTGATGTACAAAATGCTTCTTCACAGAAGCCTACCAGAACCCACACATAAGGGGTGGTTGGGGTATTTTTTGACAATTTTTTTCTCACGGTAGGCCACTATCATGAGAGTATCCTGGCAATCTTCTATGAAATTTTCTTCTGTACAAATGAATTAATTCGTGTTTCAACGTGGGTAGTGTGGGTACTGGATAGGTACAGAGGGAAATGAGTTTTTCCAGTTTCTTTTCTCTTTTTCAAGTTTCTTTCTATTTCTCTTTCTCTTTTCCTTCCTATTCTCTTTCATTTATTTTTTTAAATTTTAATTCAAATTAACTGCACAATGACTTCTACGTATATTGTGGGACACTTTGAAGGCCAGGGACCTAATTTACAAGGAATTAAAAGTTTGGGTCCTAATTTCACAATGTTGAAAGTTTAAGGACCCCAGTGGAATTTTCCCAGAATGAAAAGGACTTCGTAACCAAAAGGGAACCTTGCCCACAAGCTTTTGTCCAGCGTGTTACTTAGAGTTGGACAAAACTTTCGAATCGAACCGAACGCGAACCAAATTGAACCGAACCGAGTAGTTTTTCTTAAATTAAATATTTAAACCGGTGTCTGAATCAAAAGCCGATAGGTTTGGTTCAATTCTAGGTTCTTGATCCTAGGGATCAAGAATCTAGATTAAGATTTGAATTTCCCTAAAATTTTTAATTAATTTATTTTAAATAAGTCAAATTATTTTATCTTTTCTAAATAAATTTGTTAACTAATTAATTTAGTTCGAATGAAAAATATATGATTTTTCCATTTCTAATTTTCAATTCAAAGTCAATTTAATCAAATTGACCTAAATTTTATCCGAATCTATTATTCTATCGTAGTGTCATTTCTATCATTCTGGAGAAATCGAATTGAAGCTCGATAATGCATCTCTTAATAATTTTGAACTCGCTATCTTTCTCTTCCCGTGATTTTAACAATCAAATCTATGAAGAATTCAACAAAGAGAAACGCAAAAGGCATACAAGATTGAACTGCGTTATTTTATAAGAGTTAAGATTGAACATATCATTAATTGAATTAATATAATTTTGTAAATATTAAAAAATTTAATTATAATACGGAACTGAGAAACAAATGGAACCGAATCCGAACGGTTCCACTTACTAAATACCTGAGAATTTCAGATTCGGATATTAGAATCGAACCTAACCAGACAATATCCAGCCCTAGTGTTATTGTCTCTACAATTTAGAGAAAGTCACCTTTGATCGTTCCCCACTTCAAACAATTGAAAATGGCAAATATCAGACTTAATTGTCCCAATAGTCACTAAATTGATGTTTGTATTTTTGACTACTTATTGAAGTTTATGATGTCAAGTTTTGTCCACTAAATTTATTCAAACGTTGAACGTTACTAAATGGCATAACATATATTTCAAACTTTTACCAAAATTAGGGATGAAACTAATGAAATGCACGTGTTTCCTGTCACGCTATTAACAAATTGCCACGTCTTCGATTGTTTACTAATATTTGAAAAGCATATTTGATTACTTACTGATAAAAATGAAGTCAACCTATTGTTCATTAAAAATGTATACTGCAAATGCATGAGTCACGTAAAAGTAATAATAAATTAGACAAACAAATCTGAGTTGTCAATCCCACGAGAAATAATTATTCATTTACACAATAGTTAATTTTAGTTTTTGATATATTTTGCAAAATTTTAAGCTATTTCATCTTTTTAAAAATTCAAATTTATTGTGTATTTCATTATTAAAATTTAATTATGTGTTTCATTGCAAAAATTTAATTTTAATTAAATTTATTATATGTTTCGCTGCAAAATCTACCGTTTGATGAAATTTATTATGTGTTCATTGCAAAATTCATTTAATTAAATTTACTGTGTGTTTTGTTGCAAAATTTAAATTTAATTTTCATTAAATTTTATCAAAGAAATACACAATAAATTTGAATTTTTCGAATAATGAAAATAGCTAAAAATTCTATAAAAATATATTTAAAATTAAATTTTATTATGGTGTAAAATAAGTAATCATTTTTCGTGAGATTGATAACTTGAACTCATTTATCCACTTTTTTACTTTTATGAGATCCGTATATTTGCTATACACGTTTTAACAATAACATACCGACATTATTTTATAAATTTAATAGCAAAAATTTGACTACCTCAAAGTTCAATAAGGAACCAAAGACATTTTTTCAAAATTTAATGAGCAATTGAAAACATTTTTAAAAGTTCAGTGAAAAATCAAAGACATGACAATTTATTATCTGGGATGATGGAGCACCACGTGTGCATTCTGTTAACCACGTCACTAAAATCGTTAAAGATTTAAAATTGATGTTATACTAGTGAGTAACATCTAATGTTTGGAAAAGATTAGAGGCTAAAATTCGACATCTAAAATTTGAGTGACCATTGTTGAAAAATGTCCGACGGTCAACCTATACCTATTGTCCAAGCTGTAGAAATCGCATTACCCTGAGCAATCAAAAATGGCGAGAGCCGGTGGGATAACGAACGCGGTGAACGTGGGAATCGCAGTGCAAGCTGATTGGGAAAATCGGGAATTCATTTCCCACATTTCTCTCAATGTCCGTCGCCTCTTTGACTTCCTCGTACAATTTGGTACCCACTTCGTATAAACCCCTCTCTTCCTCTTATAGCTCTTTTTAATTTGATTGGTTTGAGAAAATTATTTCTGTTTTCCTTTTCAATTATAGAGGCAACCACCAAAAATAAGTTGGCTAAGTTGAATGAGAAGCTTGACACATTGGAGCGGCGTCTCGAATTGCTGGAAGTACAAGTGGGCACTGCTACAGCCAATCCAGCTATGTTTACGACCTGATTGGATCGGAATTCTTAGATCGAGGTCTGTCATGAGTAGTGCGGTCGATTTCGTGATTGTATTTTGATTTTCGCTGTGGACAACTTCTTGCTGTCGTTATTGTGTAGAATCTTTATGCATATATTTTTATATAAAAATATAAGATGTTGGAATGTTATCTCATGGATTCACATCTAAAATTTTGGTGTCTATCCACTTTGTTTGAAATGGTTATCTTCGAATCAGTTTCCATTGCGGCTGTGCTTAAAGATCTGAGTTTGATAAGATTTTAAAGTAGAGTTGATTTAAATTATGTTTGTTTAGATTAATTTTAATATTTGATAATGTTTTACTTCATTAGAAATACATTTGATTTTAGCTCTTTACCCTATAAAAAACTACCTAGGATTTCATTGATGTATTCTATTATTGACGATTGAATATTTATATCTTCTTCCCTCTCTCCCCTTATCTTCTTCCCTATTTCTCTTTTTATGTTACGTCCTATATCAAGAAGTATATTGGGGGACACGCTATGTTTATCCATAGGTTTAAATTGAGCTGATATCAAGATAATAATCTCGATAACTGAGGTAGACATAGCTGGTTTTCACATCTATTTCAGAAGATCATCTCTGCAATGTTTCACTACTGTCATAGGGTTCTCAGTTCTTCTTTCCCACTTCTCTTTGATGCTTTCTTTCTTTGGTTTTCTGTCCTATGCAATGCCCATTTGTCTAAAGAGATTTGTTTATCTTCAACATTTTCCTAGCTCAATTTGTTCCACTCAAACAGAAATTTGAAAAATTCAAACGCCTTATTGCTGCAATTTATCATCTCTACACTAACTGTCACATACACTGGTGGAGGTGCACAGTGGAGGAAATTGGGATTTGAGAACCTCTTTTTTACTAAAATTTTTTTGTTACTTAATAAATAAAAAAAATTGTGCGGAAAAGCCGTAATTATTTTTTATTAACAAATAATTAGGTTGATTGTCGAAAATCAGAATGTTACCGGAGGATGGTGTGTGTGTGTGTGTGTATATATAAGAGAGAATTGGTCTACTAAGCTCTAGTAACAATGCACATCTATTCATTGATTGATAAGTTCAAGGTGGATTTCAAGATTTGAATTAAATTTGTCATCCACCAATTGATTGATGTGCTGTATGATCAGTGTTTAACATAAGCTAAGCAACGATACTTAGTAGATAATTTCCCTCTATATATATAAGTATAACTATTGTTTTCATATATATAGGGAGAGAGAGACACATACCCAACCGGATTCCTTTTTGTTATTTTCCCTTTCTTGCACTAATCAGTTACATATTAGTGTATAACACACACACACATATAAATATGTACTTAGTATATGTAAGAATATATTTTCTTTTTATGCGTACTTTGACGTCGAGTTATATCGCTATATATATAAGTATAACTATTGTTTTCATATATATAGGGAGAGAGAGACACATACCCAACCGGATTCCTTTTTGTTATTTTCCCTTTCTTGCACTAATCAGTTACATATTAGTGTATAACACACACACACACATATAAATATGTACTTAGTATATGTAAGAATATATTTTCTTTTTATGCGTACTTTGACGTCGAGTTATATCGAAGCTTTGAAGATTTTTCCTTGTGGTGAATTAGAGTCACATAAATCCATCAAAGGCAGGTTTGTAGTGTAGGGATAAAAACCTGCTACTTCTAGGAGCCTATCGCGGCATTGGTGGAGTGGAACGCCAATGAATCCTCCTTCCAATTCTTATCCTCTAACTTAAGCTGGCTCCAAAATTACTGTAAAACATTGTAACATTTTTAATATCATTATATTATTTTATTGTTCCCGAGTCCTACCTCCACCCTGGTCACACAATACTGTAAGGTGCATACAGAGACAAAGTGCTATGCACTCCTGGTGGTTACAATGTGTCGATTAGATTTAGATCTTGCACCATGATCATTGCCTATTTTGGAAAGTAAAGACATGAAGATTTTGGTTGGCATCATTTTTATTCTTTGTTGGGAAAAAAATGGCAACTAGACGCTTTTTTTCGTATTAATGGTTATCATGGCACACGTATCATATGATATTCTTAGAATGGTATCAGCGGTATCAGCATTTCATTGAAGAACTTAGGCCTTGTTTGATTCCAATTCTTCTCAAAATACATGTTTCTCTCTCTTTTTTTCAACCTCACAGTAGTCATTAAAATAATATTGCACATAAATAAAAAACTTTTCCTTATTTTTCAACTATACATTTCCCAACAATCTATTATTCTAAAATGCATTTTTTCATAAAAATGGGGCTCAAACACCCTTTTAATGTCAATGGTCAAGAATTCATAGAATTGTTTTAAAATTACATAGGGAAGCAAATTGAGTGAAGTAAACAATTTATGGAATTGACTCTTACATTAGAGGGTGATCTTACATTTTGTCTATGGGATTAAGTAGGGCTTAAGTTGAATCATCGCCCATAAATGGGTACCAATTCAATGCCAATTCCTAGTATCTCTTACATGAATTTCATGGTTGATTGGATGATTAGACTGCTGCTCATGTATTTGCTTGTGAATCCAAAATACCATCAGTTGATTGCAAAGAATAGAAGCTGAACCTACTTTAACCAACATGTCTTAAGTCTGTACTTGGTACTAGTAATAGCAAAACAGAGAAAGGGTGTGTTGATCATAAGTGTTAGATCAGTGGCCTACAGAAATTCTTGGGGGTATTGAGTTGCATATTCTCTTAATCTGATTATCTCTCACAATCTCTGACATTGTCCACCCAATTAACTATCTTGGTTGAGGAGGTGGTGGTTGCATAACAATAGCGGATGGTTCAGTTGGAACTGGAGTTTGTGGTATGACAATAGGTTTCTCCATAGAGTAGCGACGAGACCCTCCGAAACTCTCTATGGATTTCATGTATTCTGACGCATTGTTTTCTATGATAAAAGCATCCTCGAGTTCACGAACAATGTCAGCCATGCATGGGCGATAAGCTGAGTAAGGCTCAATACATGCCAAAGCTACCTCCACCACTCTCCACATTGCTTCAGCATGGTATCCTCCCTTTATGTTAGGGTCCACAATTTCTTCGATTCTTGAGTTCCTTATATGGGGCTTGGCCTATATTCAAGAAAAGTTGCTTGTATGGTCAAACATGAATAACTTTAATAAATATACAATGACTTAATTGAGAGAGAGAGGAGTAAGAAGTGTAACATTAAGCTCTTTTGCTTTAAAATTTACGAAAAAGTATTGTTGATAAGTCTTCATCAAGGTCATGATTTACCTAGCAAAGATCTAGTTAAGGACCAATTTATATGTTTTGTGTTCAAATTTCTTCATTACAAGTAAAATAATATTTATTTTCTTCTGCTGGTGATTGAACAAAGTAATCCTCCAGATACACTTTCCTTTTCAGCCTATTAGATTTTTGGGAGTTTCTTGCACATCTACTTGCTTCAATTTTTGCTCATTAAGTGTGTGTTCTGTCAAATCAGAACATTGTATATGCCTCCATACAAATGCAGTTCTTTTTGTCTTGCTCTCCGAATGGGGATGTAAGTTCGTTTGTTAGAAAAGCAGGTATGTGTGGGTGCATTGTGCAGAATTTTAAGACTTTAGGTTGCAATGAGCAATGAGCAATTGATAATGATTAATATAAACTAATCTTTTGAGCATTTGACATCTTCATTTGGTTGACTTCATCCTTTTTTGTTCAAGAGACTTGGCTAATGTTTGGCTTATAAATTATTTATAAACACTTAAGCCACTTTTTCTCCACACATTTCGAGGGATCCACAAGTACTAACTTGTCTGCCAATTATTTCTATCCATTTATAATTTAAGCAGTTTATAAACACTTTCCAAACATTCTTTTAATCATTTGTGATAAATGATTAAAATAATTAACATGTGTCTCTAGGACCAAGTACTTTTATCTAATCATTGCAAGTGTCCTTCATGAAGAGTCTCAAAATCATATTGCTGAAATTATCAGCACTCATTAAAGGGCATTGGTGGAGTGGAACGCCAATGAATCCTCCTTCCAATTCTTATCCTCTAACTTAAGCTGGCTCCAAAATTACTGTAAAACATTGTAACATTTTTAATAGCATTATATTATTTTATTGTTCCCGAGTCCTACCTCCACCCTGGTCACACAATACTGTAAGGTGCATACAGAGACAAAGTGCTATGCACTCCTGGTGGTTACAATGTGTCGATTAGATTTAGATCTTGCACCATGATCATTGCCTATTTTGGAAAGTAAAGACATGAAGATTTTGGTTGGCATCATTTTTATTCTTTGTTGGGAAAAAAATGGCAACTAGACGCTTTTTTTCGTATTAATGGTTATCATGGCACACGTATCATATGATATTCTTAGAATGGTATCAGCGGTATCAGCATTTCATTGAAGAACTTAGGCCTTGTTTGATTCCAATTCTTCTCAAAATACATGTTTCTCTCTCTTTTTTTCAACCTCACAGTAGTCATTAAAATAATATTGCACATAAATAAAAAACTTTTCCTTATTTTTCAACTATACATTTCCCAACAATCTATTATTCTAAAATGCATTTTTTCATAAAAATGGGGCTCAAACACCCTTTTAATGTCAATGGTCAAGAATTCATAGAATTGTTTTAAAATTACATAGGGAAGCAAATTGAGTGAAGTAAACAATTTATGGAATTGACTCTTACATTAGAGGGTGATCTTACATTTTGTCTATGGGATTAAGTAGGGCTTAAGTTGAATCATCGCCCATAAATGGGTACCAATTCAATGCCAATTCCTAGTATCTCTTACATGAATTTCATGGTTGATTGGATGATTAGACTGCTGCTCATGTATTTGCTTGTGAATCCAAAATACCATCAGTTGATTGCAAAGAATAGAAGCTGAACCTACTTTAACCAACATGTCTTAAGTCTGTACTTGGTACTAGTAATAGCAAAACAGAGAAAGGGTGTGTTGATCATAAGTGTTAGATCAGTGGCCTACAGAAATTCTTGGGGGTATTGAGTTGCATATTCTCTTAATCTGATTATCTCTCACAATCTCTGACATTGTCCACCCAATTAACTATCTTGGTTGAGGAGGTGGTGGTTGCATAACAATAGCGGATGGTTCAGTTGGAACTGGAGTTTGTGGTATGACAATAGGTTTCTCCATAGAG